ATTCTAAAATATCCAAATTTTGATGAAACTTTCTATTTATATACTGATGCATTAGAAATAGGTTTAGGAGCCACTCTCTCTATTCAATTATAACTTAATACTCTTAAATTTAATACAATCAACATAAACTTAAACTAAAACATTTTTTTTTTAATCTCATGAAATAATCCTCATTAATTTTGACTTGCTTGGTTCACATCTATTTTAGTTTGAAGGTGATCCCAATTACCAATAAATAATCGGGTTTTTGGAATTAATTTTACATGAATTGATACATGGACTTGTATTTAATATAATATAGTCTGATAATCAAGCTGTTACACCTGAAATCATTAGTTTAACAAATAGAACCTGGTATTACCGATTTGAACACTTTGATAATTTTTCGAGGATTTCAAAAAAGAGCTTTGTACAAATATTTAATCTTATTACTAGATAATAAAACAACAGCATTTTATGTGAACGAACTGAATAAATTCGCTAATAGATCAACTTTTAAAAATGACGATGATTTTTTTGATAAATTTATCGCTTCACTACAATATTTAGTTGGCAAAGAAATATTTAGTTATTTCATCACACCCAAATCTCTGGTTTTCAAGTCAAGCATTAGTAATAAAGAAGAAGATATGACATATTTAAAAACTTCTCTAAATCCTTTTGAACAAGATACAGCAAATACACATGATAATGAGATAATGCTTTCATCAAACTTTTTCTCATGTTGATATTATGACGTATATTAATATCAGTGAATTCTTGATGATGTACCTACAAAAATCAAGTCAAACCCTTAATGATTTCATTAGAATAGATAAAAATGCTATAGATTATAAACTCTGACTAATTCTAATAAAGTTTAGAATATAGTAATTAATTTCAATTATTCATTATACTAATAAAAATTAAATGGCTGAATTTTTATATGCTCTTCTTAGATATACTACAAGGGAAAACCCCAAACTGTATAATTCATCTCCACCTATCTTTTTAGCTGATAAGTCAGTCATCAATGATATTTAGAATCAGGATTGTTTTATAAGTTAAGATGGTATATTTAAGTTATTCATGTAAACTTTTTTAATTTATCCTTCTTAACTGATTGTTATTTGTGACTGTAAATTGTTATTCAACTTGAGATATTTTTTAATTTCCTTATAACTAGTATATATTTTAATAATTAACTAAGTTCTTGTAATCTTTATAATTCCAAATATAATCTATTAATCTATATTCATTATAATGATTTATTTGTCAGAAATACACAATCTGTGCAATTAAATGTGACTGTTAATAAATTTTTCAATATTTTAATCATTCTTTACATGTTTTTTGAGTTTTCTTATATATTTTTTTATGAAAATTTTTTCACGAAAGAATTTATTATTATTTTATAAACTCGATTTGATTAAATTCATGTTTTTAATCAAAATTCAGTATTTATATACCTTTTTGAATATAAAAATATATAATATATTTTAAGTTCTTTTTACATACAAAAACCATTGTGCATCAGAAGTAAACTGGTAATGACACAGTGGCATAAAGAAGCTATGTGAAGTTAATGAATGATAACACTTTTTGCAAGGAAGAATCAATAGAAATGTCAGAACACATTTCAACGTCTAAGTTAGTTTAGACAAATTATATATTTTATTAAACTTTAAATGATTTTGTATTTAATTTTAAGTACGTATCTATACCAATCTTATAGGGATAAAGTTTTTATCTTTTACTTTAAAAGTTGGCATCTGCATTATAATAATTTTCTTTTTTTTTGAGCTTATAAACAATTTTTTTTTTTTTAATAAAAAGAATGACTTCAATTATAATAAAATATTATATTAAAACTTTGAACATTTTGTAGTTAAGGATTATTATATCCTTAATGTTAATGGTAAATAAAATATTATATTATAATTATGCAAAAAGATAAAATGTCTAATAAAGAAAAATTAAAATTTGAAGAATGAAGAAAAAAATAATTAAAATTGTTTAAATTTTATTTAATACTTTGGTCTATTCTACTATTAAAATCACAAGTACTATGTCTCAATTTGATTATCACATTAACGTTATTGATGAAATTGAAATGATTCAAGAATATTTCTTCTGTTTCATTCGCATTCATCAGAAGTCACAAAATAATTAAATTGTTAATATTAAATTCAATGTTGTTAAACCTGGGATCATCTCAAACTAAGCTAACAAAACTTAATAACATAATTATCTTAAAGGTCTTTTTAAGAGAAATTAATTATTAACAAACAAAACAATTTATTAACATGATTCACTTGTATAATAGATTATCATGACCAATCCTATGATGAAGACAAGAAGAAGGTTGAAAGTGTAAAATAGTAACTTTATTAAACTGTAAAGTTATAAGTCAAGTCCCAAGACTTATTTAGAAAACTATCTGATTGAACTCTCTTTTTAATTCTATTAACTCAAGGTCAACTTACAGGTCTATTTATATAAAATTGTTAACTATTACTATGCTATGCTTTTTGATAAGTATATATAATAAAAATAATATAAGTAATAAAAAGTAGACTATATAATATTTATATTAAAAGGTAAACTATTCGATATATATATTATAAAATAGACCAAAAGATACATATATTATATGTTTAACATATATAATATTTAACGTAGTTAAAGATCATTTGAAGTGCAGTATGATCTGCAGCTAACAATTTTTTCTTCTAATTTTTGAACTCTGAGAGAAATTTATCAGTTTCTTCCTCATTTTCTAATAGAAAGTTAGTGAGCATAATTAACTAAAGCTCTGAATTTAAAAGCTTTGTGTTAACTTATAGTTACAAAGTTAATAATTCAAGTTTGTTGAATTTGTTCTACTCCTAAAACTCAAATAAGTAATAAATTCTGGTAACTCCTAGTCAATAGTAGATGGTCATCATATTTCTCAACATCCTTTTAGAAAGATTAGTTGATTCAGTCTCTAAAAGTTATTCTAGATAATAGGCATTTACAAGAATAAGTATATAATCTCTTTTTCTACATACTCTTAATAATGCTCAATATGTACTTTGAACTTTTTGTTGTAAGATAATGTCATCATTGAAGGGTACTTTGAGAGAAATTTCAAGAAAAGAAATTTGTTCTAAATCTTCACATAAAGATTACAATCATTGAGAATTAATAATTTTAGATATTATAAAAATTTTAATTTATAATTTCATGTATCGAAAAAGTTATATATATATAAAAAAAATAAAGTAAAATAATAAGATAAAAGAAGGATAACTAATCTAAATTTTAAGATAAGCTTTCAATAATTGTATATTTACTAGTGTATGTAAAACTTGTCTTTTTATCTCATGTAACTTATAAGATCTATTTATCAAGATTTTATGGATATAATAAGACCTTTTCATTTTGAATCTAATTTTCCAAATCTTCTTGTTTCATTTGCTGCATTGTTATATAGAACTTTATCTCTTATTTCAAATTGAGATCTCATTTTAATTTTCTTATCATGTTGATTTTCTGTTTTATTGACTATTTATGATCTGCAATTTAGCCTTAAACCTTATAACTGGTAGATCATCTATTAATTTCCTAATTCTAGTATTAACATTATCATGTGATTATTTATTTAAAGGATCGTCAGTGGGTAACCTTGCTGACCTGCCATATAATAAATAAAAAGGTACTATTTTTGTAGTTGAGTGTTGACTTATACGATAAGCAAATAATACTGATACAATATAAAAATCTCACTCCTTATCATGTGTTATTAATTTTATCACTTAAAATTCTATTAAATCATTTTATAAGACTATTTGTTTGAGAGATAATAAAGGATTAAAAAATTGTGTTTGATCTAAAATATTTTCATCAATCTTGTGATCAATTGATTGTTGAAATAGGTTCCTCTATCAGATAAGATCTTTTGAAGGCATTCATGTTGACATATGATATCTTTATAAATAAAATTAGCAGTAGTTTCTGATAAGACTCTATTCTCAAGCCATTTAGTTATATAATCTATTGCTATTATGATGTATCTATTTTTCCTTTCTATGACAAGTAAGAGTCCTACAATATCAATTTCTATCCTATAAAATAGATTTCCTACATTTATTTGATATAAATGTTCAGTTCATTTGTATTTTTCTCTTCTTTGATAAGAATCACATTTTTGTATATATTCTTATATACTTTTATACATTTGAGACCAATAATATTGTGTTCTAATCTTGTCAAATATACTATCTGTTGATAAATATCCTCCTAAAGGATCATTATATGCCATATATAATAAAGTATCTAATTTATTAATTTTTATTACTCTTAATAATCGTTCAGGAGTAATAGTTTTTACTTTATATAAAATATTAAATTAAATAATATAATTCTTTGATTGTCACTTAATTCTTTATTTTTCTATTGTTGATAAATTTGGTAGTAATAATTCTGTCTTTAAATAGTTAAAAATATTGGTATAATATATGTTATTCATTTTGTTATAGAGCTGTCTATCATAATGTAGACACTTTCACTTTCACTTTAATTATTATCTTAATAAAAATTGGTTTTTAATATAAAGGAACTTCGTCAAGAAGTTTTTCAAGTAAATTTTTTAATAAAATATCATTATTTTGTTGTTGTACTACTAATATTTCTTTTTAAAATACGTCATTGTAAAGATAGTTAGGATTCATATTAGGTTATATTTGTCCTAATCCATATCTTACAATACAATTATAAATAACTATCCCATAAGGTAGATTTTTTTACAGGCTTTACAGTAGGTATAAATATGATGATTTTTAGTATCGCAGTTAAAAGTACATTGTGATCCTCCTTTGTAATAGGCTGTCTAGCTATAACTTGTTTGACTTTAATATAAACATTGATCTATAACTGAATAATTCTTTTCTGCTAGAGTTAAGCTTCTACTTGAATAGACAATAGAATATTCTCTTTTCTTTTTATTCTTTTATGCTAGAGTGGCTCCTAAACCTATTTCTAATGCATCAGTATATAAATAGAAAGTTTCATCAAAATTTGGATATTTTAGAAT